TCACACTTAAAGGACCAGTGTGTAGGATTTAGTGACATAGGATCAAGCGTCTTGCAGATCACAACTCCCTCACTTCACCCTCTCCTTCCAAGCGTGAAGGAGAAGCTATAGTGGCCGCAAACCGTGCTTAAAAACGCAGTGAGTGACATGTGGAACTGCCTCTTTTAGTGGGTAACACTTGGGATACAATAGTTTTATTTTCTGTAAAACAGTCATGCAGCTACTGAACACAACATCCCCACATCCCAGCAAACTCCTACTGACCTATGACTTCCACATACTGTTCGATCACTGAACTGGGATCAGGACCAAGGAAAACGTAAAAGTCCAGGATTCCACCGATAGTACGCCAGGTGAGTGCTGGGGCGGGCTGGAGGATCACATCTGATGAAACAGAAAAACTACTGATTAAACATTTGTTATTGATAAGAAAATCCTTCTGAAATACAATTAGGACAACTGAGATATTATCTAAGTGCATGGCATATAATAATAAAATGCATGGTACAGCATTTCCTGCTTGTGGAGCAACAAAGCAACAACAAAGACCTGCATTACAACATTAAAAGCTAATATTTTCAGCCTTTCTTATGATGATGGGAAAGGGAAGCCAATTCAATTAAACTAAGATTGTAAACCAATCCAACTTTTCAGTTAGCAATCAGTGTCTTTGTTAGGAAATACAACATGACACTAAGTCACCTCTTTATACAACACTGGACACAATCTGACATTTACTGACAGTAACTGCTGTGACACAGTCATAATGATAACTGTTATTTAGGACTTCTGCTTTTATCAAATTGCTTAATTTAGTCATCTGAACAGTTTCAACACTGTAAGAGATCAGCTAATTCTAACACCAATGTGTATTATTGCACAAGTTGATGTTGAAGTATCGGGGCGACTAGCAGACTGACCCATTGCATTGCTGTTCAGCAGGAAGAAGCCGTGTGCGTTCCCTCCGTCCTCCATTGCCAGGTAAAATGGATGGGCTCCATATAGGTTTGTCTGTTCCTACATTGTAGAGAGGATATTCTAATTAATTTAATCTTATTTGCACTGAGGTGAACTGCATATTAAATGAAGGAGCAAAATCATGAATGTTATTTATTTGGGCCTTTTTCACAGAAGACATTTTGACACAGTAGGAAAGCAGAGGTGTAAATAATATTAACGATGGCTCAGTTGCATTCACACTGCAAGCCTCTGTACGGAGCTCTGTGTGGAAGTGGAGGCAGAGTAGACCAGTTACAATACGACCCCTCAAGTTTAGCTTGAATAGTAGGGTCACCCCAAAAACAAGGTCTAACAACTCACTGTCCCTCCACTAACTACCTCCATTGCAGCTGTTTTCCATGTTTGTATTTACTCAATGACTCCTATCAGCGCATAATTGTGACGAATGCCGATCTAGAGTGGCGTAAAAGTTAAATGAATTCCAACAGGTTCACACTAAGGTCACATTGATTTAGGACCACATATGAAAGTGGTCAGAATTGGAAAATATCAGATTTTATGTGATTTGTGCTGTTCACACTGTCAAGAAAAGGCACATATGAGAGTAAAGTTATTCCACTGAGCCTGCATGCACAATACCAGAAATGCAGCTGTTATTGATGTTATTAAATTGTACAGTTTTTATGTAAAAATATATGCTGTGATAAAGGTCTACATGCTAGCGCACTGTTCTGACTTGCCGGGACACTTGAACAGAACTGAGCTATTGCTAATGTCATTAGTTAACAACTAAAAGTCAAATGTCTGCTGTTACTCACTGATACTAATATTTGTGTCTGTGGCTAAAATGTAAAACAGAACAATGACAAAAACAGGGATTTCCATACCATAGGAGGCACATCTCTGGCCCACATGGTGAGTGTGTTCCAGTGGACATCATGCAGGAAGGTCGAGCGGTGCTCGCCCAGGCCGTAAATGAACTGGCTCTGCAGAGATGTGGACAACTGGAGAAACTGATCCGCATAGAAGAGCGGAGCCACTGTGGTGTTCAGACTGACAGGAAACCGTTGAAAGGGAACACAGAATATCATTAATGATTGCATTACAACAACTGTATGTGCCTGAAGAGAGTTTCTAGTACATAATATTTGTCCAGTTGTGACGCTAACCCTTTCTTTACCTAACTAAATAAAGTCATTTGACTTACAGCACTGCTCCTGTAGAGCTCCTCTTCACAATGAGACCAAATGGCTCCTTTGAAAGCTCTACGATGTAGTCTGGACTTTCTGCCTTCTTGGTGGCAGTGGGAACAGAGATCGGAACCTCAAACCTTGAATTAGAAGGGTCGGTAATCTAGATTGAGAAATATGAGAAAAATAGTTTAGAATTAAATAACAGACCAGATAATTTACAGCAGTATGTAATAAAAACCAATCAACTGACTTACAAAAGGTTATGATAGTACCTTTGCACCATTCTGGTTTAAGCAAACGCTGGCATGTGGATCTTATTGAAACCTTTGTTCACATGGCTACAGCTCTGAATGTGAATCTGTTGCCTGCTTGCATGTATAATGGTTTGGTGAGATTCCACTTTACCCTTGTTTTCATGAACTCCAGAGAATTTAACAACAACTCAGTGTGCAACAATGTAGCTCTGTGCTTGTATTTTTACTGGTAATAGTATTGGTGAGTCTTTACAGTCAATTACACAGTGAGATTATTTATAGCAGGGAACATTTTGTTACTTTCCATGAAAAATATGATACTGCATGTAACCAGTAAAAGCCCTACAAACACCCATAGTAAACACTGACAGCTGTTTTCACTTATTCCGGCTGATTAGACCCCTGTTCTGGACTGTGTGGGTGTATAACGCCCATGCTGGAAAGGCTTTTTTCATGAGAGACATTTTGACATATCACAGAAAGAAAACCACAGGTGTGAATAATACACTTAATGAGATGGGCTTCAGTTTCAGGGTCCTGGTTCATGCTGGCCCACTGCTTTGGCTGACTGGTACACTTGAATAAAAGGGAGCCATAGTTGATGTTATTAGTAACACCTATGCTTTCTCTACTATAAAGAAGTCAAAATGTTGTTGTGAAAAAGGCCCTTGAAAGCATGCTGTGTGACTTATTAAATATAAATTAATACGAAGCGAGTACCCCACTCACTCACCCTGACACGTAGGCGCGTGTCGGTCTCGTGGCGTATCTCCACCTCTAGAGTGAGGATATCTGCTGGATAGTAGGTCTTCACGTCCCTCACGAGCGTACCTTTCTGTCCCAGGGACGTGTCGTTTATCGACACAAGGGAGTAGGAAGGGAAATCCGGAGGATAGAAACACCATGGGATGCCGTTTCTCCCTGATGGGCGGGTGGCTGATGAGAAGGGAGCAGATGCGGGGATAAAGCAACAGTTCCTTGCCTCACACAACTCTCGGGTCACAACCACCCCTCTTTCAGGGTAGCAATCAAACCTCCACGCCTCAGGGATTAAACTGCAAGTCTGCTGGCGGAAAGCAGCTGCAGTGTCGTTTACTACTGGTGTTTGTGCCGAGGCCGGTGGCAGAGGTTTATGTGGCTGCTGGTTGGACGGCCTGTGCAGCCAGAATATAGTCCCCAGTAGCCAGCCTCCACAGAGGAGCAGCAGCAGGCAGCCAATCACCAGGAGGCCTGAGGTGACAGAGCATGATGGCCTCCGTGGAAGCAAAGAGGCTTCCTCTGGCTCCGGCACCTTAAAAGACAACGTAGAAATCAGACAAGCAACAAACTGAGAAAAGCAATCTGCAAACCAGATGTCTCACATGACTACAGTTCCTTTCTAGTATGAGGAACAAAACCATCAAAATCACAGCTTTTTTTATTTAACCAGGAAAGCCTCTATGAGGTTAAGAATCTCTTTTTGTTCAAGGCTGTTATACTGTATGTTACAGAATAAGAAAACATAGAAAACAACACAAACAAATCCTTGAACAATCTTAGGTGGCAAAGCACGCGCTGCCCTAAAGCATAAAATAAATACACAAGTCTGCAACTAACCATTGTTTTTTTTATCACATAGATTTTTTCTTAATTAAAATCGATCAAATGTCTTATTTTGTCCAACAAAGAGTCAAAAACCTAGTCACAGAAAAGCAACAAATCCTCATAACTAAGAAGCTTATGGACCAACGGATTATTCATTTCAGCTCTTTAGAAGATTGAACCAATACGGTCAAACACAAAAATAATGAGACTAACATGTAGACTCTAAAATATGCCACCAGACTGGAAGCCTGGAGAAAGACCATGAAGTCGCTGCAGCAATGATTTAAATTCACAGAAAGAGACTAATCCTTAACACTGTCTGCAGAAGGTTTAACGCAGAGAAAGCAGTACGGATAAACATAAGAACTCACCGGAACTTCTTCATGAACAGGCCGAGGCTCTTCTGACAAAGCTGCATTGGAAAACTGAACATCTTCAGGGTTCAGCCGCTTGTATGACACCATCCTGATAGGGTGTGTTTGTTAAACTGAGTGACTGAACACATGAGAGAATGAGACACACAGGCAGCAGGACAAAGTTCAGTACAATGACAAATACCATTTCCTGTGGTCTGGAGTTGGAGAAGTGTGCAAAAGAATCTGTGAAGTGAAAATTTGTTTTTTGGGGATTTGACAGTTGATTTGAATGGTTTTGTTTTAACACCACAGCAGAAGAAAGGTCTAACAGAAAGCAGAAAATGTGTATAAGACAGAATATATTGGCACTATAAAGAAGATTTATTTAGGGTCATTTGTTTAAGCACACACAAACACACACAACACTAAACATCTAAGGACACACTGAGTTACCATAGATGTGTCATTAACCAATAGACCCATTTCACAGCAACCACTTTGACATGACATAGTAGGGTAAACACAGGTTTCTGTTCCAGTTACTGTAGCTGAGCCTTTTGTGTGAATGCTAATATTAAATGTCAAAATGGTTGCTGTGAACAAATGGTCCATTCAGGTATGTTTACTGACAATAACTGGATATTATTATTATTATTATTAAAACAATGCTGCATCTTTAACTGCAGCACCTTTCTCCTTCATCCTGCGGTCACGTGTGTGTACATATCGTACTTAACGCAGATATACTTGTGAATAAAACACAACCCTGACTCTGTGCATGTCTCAAACAGCACACTGAAATGATCTCACGTTGTATTCCCTTACATGTGAGCGTACAGGGAGGCTGCTGATGCTTTGAGTGTCGCACATTTTGTCCAAAGAACAGACTGGAGCTAACCTCAGCTAGCATTAGCCCTCGCATAGGATATCATGTGAATGTCAAAGTTCACCAAGGAGACGTTTAATTAAGTGCAGCTGTGGGGACTGACTGACAAACACCCGGGGTTATTGCATTAATAAGAAAACAACAACCAGTCGCAGTGAGACTGTGAGTGGTGAGTTAGTTTAGCATAATCTATTAGCCTTAGCTGACTTTTAACATCACTGTAACGTTAGCCGACAGGAGCGTTTTCTTTACTTACCTCGATAACCTTCGAGTCTTTGTGAGATTAATAAAAAAATACAGCACACAGATCAACTTTCCCTTTAAATAAATATCACGTTAGCTAACGTTAATAATCTCAACCTTCTGCCTGGCGTGCGTCTGTTTATCTTCATGTCGCATTCAGGGTACCTCGTAATCCCGAAAACGTCCGGATTAATTGTCCGACAACAAGCGCTTGTGTCGGATTCTCGATCTGTTAACTGAACTCCAAATGTCATGTTATGTGCTTATATAAACAGCGACATGCTATATGTAATATGTTAATGTTTGAATAAAATATTAATTTCTTTTTTTTTTAATCGAAGGGGTCAGGAGTGTGTTTCCTTGCCACGGTGCTGCCTTCAGGAGCAGCTTTGGATTTTGGACTACCTGTAAATGAAAAGTCTACCTGTTGGGAAATATGAGCCTGTAGGTTTCTAACAGTAAAGATAAATAATATGTGAATAATATTAGAGTGAGCTGGTTTAAATAACAGTTCTTCAGATAGAAATTAGAACACATAACCAGCAGTATATACTTTTAGGCTATTAGCTGTATAGAATATGAAGCTGTCACTTCATTTTGTTTTCTGGGAACATTTAGTAGAGGTCGATTTTGATATATATATCAACAGAATCAAGCCTTGCTTTAAAACGATTGAGTGAGCAGCTCAAATTGCGCTATGGTTCAAGAAATTCGATTATTATTGCTCAAACATTAGTTGGTAAAACCTTGTTCTATATATTTCTTGGAAAAGATAACATCTACCTTTGCCTGTTCCAATATGTTTGATTTCCTTTCCCACACACCCTCGAGCAGGTTTGGGCAATCATACTGTGAGTCAGATGGGGGTAAAAAAAAGAAATACGCAGGGTTTTATGCAAGCCAGAGACAAGTGAATTCATTTCACAGATGACTTCTTCTCAAAAACTACCTCCACTCGAGCAGAAAAAAAAGCATTTGCCTTATTAAAAACATTCACGCATGACCACGCAACTCTCAGGCAGGAGAATATTGTTGCTGTATAAATGAGAACACCCTCTTGGTTTTTTTATTATTTGGTCAGAGATTTTTCCAGTGTCAACAGATGATGCCTTTAAATATTGTAAAATATATCAAACATCTTAAATGACCTGTGTACATATATTTCTCATACATTAGCCTCCGCAGTCAGAAATCCCCAAACAAAACAGTGTTTAGTACTTTTACTTTTATTGTTCAGTATAACATGTCTCATACAATTAGACAGAGGCAGCACTGGGCAATATTTACCATCTACATGGCTTCATGACTTGGCTTTTGTATCAGCCTTAGAGGATGATGCCTTTATTCACAATGGTTACTTGGCCTTTGAGAGTTGTCTAAACCAGGTGAACCTGATTCATGATTTGGTTTTTGAATAACTTCTGTACAAAACAGAGATAAAAACATAATCACCACTAAGGCAAAACGGTTTTGGAAAAAAAAAAAAAAAAAACCTGATGACTATCATGATCCCATTGCTTCATTACTGGATACATATTTCTGACATTTCAGTAGCTCATAGCCAAAGAATGAATTCCAGTTTCACCTGATTCCTAGACTGCTCATTGGCCCTCGTAACGTCTGATACAAAAACATAATTATTCTTCAATCCAATTTCCACATACACGATTAGTTTGAATGACAAATACTGCATGGAAAAAGTGAAATCACAGACCTTCAATGAGTCATTTGTACTACCATAAATACTAATGTCAGTGTGATACTTCAATGCAACTAACATAGGTAAGAGTGATAAACGTGAATAAATATGACCTCTAAATTTATCATCTAAGCAGTTTCCAAGATCTTTTTTTACCAAAGTAGTGTTTGTAGTAAATATTTGTTTGGTCATTTTGTCTGAAACTGTGTTGTTAGTTGCTGAACATCACCTGACGTTTGCCTGTCTATTAATTTGTGTGTGCGGGTCTGGGAGTTAAATATTTTAGGTTTAATACTTTTTTGTAAACCACCATGTAAAGGTTTAATGAAGGTCTATTCACAGAGGTAGTCCTTTACTTTCCGCTCTTACAATTCATGTTTTACTGCCTAAAATCTTGTATTGTAATACTACTACTGGTACATATCTCTATGGTTTATATAAATACATTATCAGTCATTTTTGTCTGTTATACACATATTAATCGGAGAGTTATCGTCGCTCTGTGATAAATCATCGTTCTTCACACCGAATGCCGACTCCTCCTCAGTCTGTATCTGCTCGTGTTTCCTTCTGTGGAGCCTCAGGCTTTGTGAGCGGCTGAAGCCCCTCCCGCAGATGTCGCAGCCATACGGCCTCTCGCCTGTGTGAAGCCTGAAATGGTTCTTGAGGCTTGAAGCTCGCGTAAAACTCTTTTCACACTCTGGACAGTCAAACTTCTCCCCAAAGTGGATTTTCTCATGTTCCCTCAAGCGGCCGGACTGGTTGAAGCTCCTGTCGCACACAGAGCAGTGGTAGGGCCTCTCTCCTGTGTGCGTGAGCCGGTGTCTGTTCATGGCCCCCGAGTGGGCAAAACTCTTCCCGCAGTCCGGGCAGGAGAACGGTTTCTCTCCCGTGTGGACTTTCTGGTGACCTTTGAGTTGACCTTTCTGCGTGAACTGCTTGCCGCACAGAGTGCATTGGTAAGGTTTCTCTCCCGAGTGGATTCGCATGTGAATCTGAAGAGCAGACATCTTGTGACAGTCTCTTCCACAGAGCCCGCAGCAGTAAGAGCTCTTTGTCAGACTGTCGTTAAAGGGATCCTGCACTGGTGAGGCTGGAGGACTGTCTTTTTCACTGTCACCGACATGATCAGGATCTTCTTCAGACACTGTGGAAACATAAAAGACAAGTTAAAAGGCACCATTTAGTAACACAGAAGACAGAAAATAACTGATATTAACCTCTTTGCTTGTTAAGACACTGCTCACTATGGAATCCAACATGATATAAGATTGAAAGTGGATAAAAACAAATGATTCAATGATCAACTTGTATGATATGTAAGCATTATCTTCCAGTCAAGGAGTGAAGCGCATAAGAATTTAGGTTTAGAGCTGCACAAAATGTCTCCCCTGCTATGCACTGGCACCTGTCCCAACTGTCCACAGCAGTAATATTCGTTTTACACACTTCTTGATAAGATATCTCTATGGGTACAAGTGTCCACTTCGAAGCACAGTCCTGACACTAGAAGAAAGTGAAAAGGTAAAATGCTGGCTTTTCACCCTAGGAGTATTCCACTGAATTTAAATTGACTTATCAAAGAAGAAGCAGTACAACGTTACACAGTCTGCTAATCAGTCCCAAAAGGAATCTCCTAAAGGAAGTTTTATGATCAAATTAATCAGAGGAAATTCTATAAAACTAATAAAATTCTAAGGAGCCTTAAGAAGAAACACAAAATCAACACTAACCATAAGTGCAGGGTTCTCATTTTCAAACCAGTCAGTCAGAGACACCAAAGAGTCAGTCGGAGTGAACTGAAAAAAGACTTTCTATCATTTCAAATGTCAAAATAATAGAGAGGGATGGTTCTTTCTCCAAGAAACCACCTTTGGTTGTGAGACAAACAAGGTACAAAAAAAGAGCACATTAAGAGAGCATATTAACCAGACAAAAGCTTAAGATTTTGCTGTTTGGCCAACTCATAGCATTCACAATTAATTAGCTACAGTTAATGAAGTTTGTCAGTGAAACTGGCTAAAAATGAGAAGCCTGCTAATTAAACCTTTAGGTGCGTAAAGCTGGGCAGACATTGTGTGTTCTCCTGTCAAAGGTGCTATATTAGTATCCGACACTCCCACTGAACGAAAGCATGGAACCCCTGGTCTGTTTTGTCCATTGACAATTCCAATTAGGTTTATTCAAACTAGTCAACGGTGTCCTCAATGTTGACAAAAAGAAGGAAAGGTAATGTAACTGTCTTGTTTTGCAACTATGTTCAGATTTATATCACAGCAGTCAAGGTTACAGCTTTAGCTACAACGTGTAAGCTACTACTGCTTATAACGAATCTTCTGACAGCAGCCGCGGTGGAAGAGGAAACATTTAACTGCTCCAACTGCAAGACAGCCAGCCTAACACCCCCCCTCAAACAATAATCTATCTGGCATGAAAGTTGTCCCAATTCTAAAATTAGTTTGGAGCGGCCAATTTGGGGCTAAAAATCTGTGGTAATTCATACAGTGTCTGCCCGGCTTTAGGTAGTGCCAGCTGCAGTAGAGAGTAAAGCTGCACACCATAGAAACACTGGAGGGTGAAACAATGTAAGAGTGAATAAAAACAATGCTGTAATTTGTGTCTTGTAAAATAACAGCTGCGGGGAAGCAATAGGTCAGTAAAATCAATAACAGCAATAAATGGGGGGAGAGAAAAACAGTTCAGTATTTTTTTTATAGAACTAGGTCCATGTTCCTGGTAAAAACTACATTTCACAGTGATCTGCTCCTTTACTGTGCAGTATTTTATCTTACTGTTGACAAGTTCTTCTTCCTCCTTTACTGTAATCCTAATTTCTGTGTTGCTTTCCTGCTGCTGCTCTTCAGTTTCCTCTGGTGTGGTACAGTCCTCACTACCAGACACCTGGTCAGAAGCTTCTTCTACTGGAGAAGTGAAAAAAAAAATGTGCATCAAAAGGCATTTATGCTCCATTACAATATAACAAGAACATCTGAAATCTCATGTTTATGTACCACACAAAGGTTCCTCCTCTTCCTCCTCTTTCACTATTACATTCATATGCGGACAGGGAGTGACGTCCTCCCGTCGCTCTTCTGCTTCTCTCAGGTTACTTTCACACTGAGCTGCTTTGTCACAGTTAAGACCCTCTGAAGAATGGGGCTCAACTGCACTGGGCAAACTCTGACTGTCAGACACCTATAAAACAGTTGCATAGGAACAAATGGAGGCAACAATGAATTAGCGAGTTATAAAGAACAATATGTATTAACGTAGGAGAAACTGAAAAATACCAACCAACTACCACAAGAAAGCACAGATTCTACTTAAATTGCTGCGTATTGTCACTACCTCCGAGCTCATGCTGTTGTTCAGGTCCTGCTGGGATGTTTCACCGACTGCAGCTTGAACTGGGTCTGAGATGACACCCGTGACTGACCCATTCTTGTTCTGTGTACACGATCTCTTGTGGTTTCTGAGAGTCCCTGCCAGTGAGAAGTGCCTCCCGCAGTCCGCGCAGGTGTACGGCTTTTCTCCTGTGTGAATCCTGGTGTGCCTCCGAAGCTCTCCTGGGGCTACAAAAGACTTGTCGCACTGTGTGCAGCTGTAAGGTTTTTCTCCCGTGTGAGTCCGCATGTGTGTCGTCAGAGTCCACTGCTGTGCAAATGTCTTCCCACAGTCGGAGCAGTGATAGGGCGTGATGCCAGTGTGGAGACGCTCGTGTCTCACAAGTGTACCGGACAAAGCAAACCTTTTGTCACAGAAAGAGCACTGGTAGGGCCTCTCTCCGGTGTGAGTCCTCTGATGATCTCTGAGCTCAGCTGCAGAGTTACAGCTCTTGTCACAGTCCGAACACGGAAACTTCTTCCTCGTAAAGCCAGCGACGACCTCAGAGTGCATCGCCTCTAAGTGAGTTTTCAGATGCCAGTGTCGGGAAAAGCTCTTCAGACAGATGGAGCAGTGATACGGCCTCTCGCCAGTGTGTGTCCGTCGGTGCAGCCTGAGCTCCCCCTGACTGGCAAATCTTTTCTCACAGAAAGTGCATGGGAATGGCTTTTCCCCAGTATGGACCCTTTCGTGGATCATGAGCAGCCCCTTTTCGGGAAATCTCTTCTCGCACATCGAGCAGGGGAAAGGCCTCTCTCCTGAGTGAGTACGTAAGTGGCGCTGAAGTTTAGAGGCGTAAGGGAAGTCCTTCCCGCACACCGAGCAGCTGTGAAGAGACGCTGGTTTTTCATTCTCGCTCTGATCAAATGTCTTTGAGGGAACCTCTGCAGGTACAATGCCAGGGATGGCACTCTCTCCTGTGTGAACAGAAAGTGAAGAAACCTTTTAATTAGGAGAACAAAAAGGTGGAAGAGCACAACAAACAGTGACGCTGATGGGGGTCAGACATGTAGCAGAGTCCTATATACTGTTCAAATCTGTTTGGGGAAAGTGGGCTCACTGCATCTCTGCTCTGTATGCAAGCTTTCAGACACGATGCATTCAAGTACCTTCATGCGTCCTAATCTAACACAGACATGTCAAACTTTGCTGGGAATGCATAAAGGTGGATGTCTATGCAGACTTTGTATCATTATATATAATAAATACTGCACTATAGAAGCAGCTCAGAGTAAATGTCTTTTTAAACTCAACACTTAAAACACATTCACTTATCATTGGGAATCTAACTATGCCTCTCTGTGTCTACTGTAGATATTAGGGCTAGCTCTGAAGTGAAATTAGCATGCCGTATTTGTTTGTTTACTAATCACATTTACAGACAATAGCATCCAGATGTTACAGGGGTTGAAAAAAAAAAATAAGTCCTCTATTCTTTCACTCTGTGTATACTTTGCTGGTTACAATATATCTGCTCACTGAGATCTGAGAAATCCACTTCTTCTCCATCAGAGTTGATCAGGCCTCCGATTTCTTGCTGGTCATCTTCAGCGAGGATCACAGCTGGTCCAAAGTCCTCCGGGTTTTCGGAGCCCATCTCTTAAAGATACAACCTTGTAGAGGGGGAACAATCAAGAGTCAGAAAACAGACATTTAAATAACAATTAATAGCAAGTGACTGAATATAAACAGCCTTACGTGGCCAAAAGCTTCACAATGAACTAACCATGGGATCAATAAAGTATTTGGCAGACAACTGAGCAGCCGCTGATGATGCTGACTCTTTGGACTATTAGTACATGAAGACAGACAGCGATTTCAATCAAACCAACTGAATCATTTCAGCCATTAGGTTCTAGATTTTGTTTCTTAGGAAGGAAAATTACAAAATGGCAAATCACTACACAGATAAATTGATTACAAGACTTCAATTTACTGTACATAAATACTTCTGCAGAGAATGAGCGATTGAGTCTAGAGTCAAAAGACGTGTATCATTTGCAGTAAGCTAAATAATAACGTACGCATCAACCACAGTCACAGATAACACAGGCTCATACTAAACATTATATCCAATGTTACGAGCAGAAATCAAGCATGCAATTTCTCTTTTCTTTCATTGTTTGGTCACATATGTAACACATATTCAGGGTTCTTGTTACAGCGTACTTTCAAACATGTGTGACATACTCGGATTATACTATTGTTTCAGATATTTTTTCCACAATGCACACAATATATTTGATTACTATATTCAGATCCAGTTGTGCTTTATCTCATAGTGCTGCCATCAGTTATGAACATAAAGGATTCATTCGATAACTGTCTGATAACATTTCTTTTTATTTACTCCAATCTGGTTCGGCTTTAGATTTCCAACCTGCAGCACCGGATCTCAACGGGGTAAATAATCCTGCCCCCCTCCACCTGCACCTCCACCCTGGCAGACATCCACTGTCCTGCTCAAGGACACTTCAGCAGGGTGAATGCTTTTGTTGTGACAGTGTGCTTGAACCACCTGGCTGGGCCTGATGGACAGTCTACCTTCAAAAAAAAAAAGGAGTTGTCATTGCAATATTTTGTAGTTTTTTTTATTTTATTTACTATTTTTAAAACCAACAAGCCATTCAGGTGCAGCAGTATTGATTATGGTGCTGTTATATAGTGTCAAACAAGGGAAAATGAGTAGCTCCAGTTAGCTCAGTAGCATTAGCTCGGTTGGGGGGGGGCTCTTTTTGTTCTGATGCTCCTCTCCACTTCAGCCCTCTCATTAATTGCCATTTAAGTTGCAAGCAACCTAATTGACTAACCTGTTGGTATCTACGGTGTCATGGTATCGATCACAGCAGGAGCGAAACGCGCCCTGCAGTGCGGACAACAAACCCCCCGCGTTTGACCTCTGAATGAAGCCGTCTGTAGTCGTGAGGCGTCGTCGGTCGGTGAACCAGCGCTTTGACCACCTCTCAGGCTGTTATCATCAGCCACCGGGGGCGAACAGCCGACATGGCGACGGCTCGCTTTTGATGTGAGCTAACGATTAGCCACCCTGAAGCTACAGCCGCTTAAACCAAACAATAACAAATAACACTCGCGACAGATTCACGGAGAGCGAAAGTCCAGCGTGAACAAAAGAGCAATGCTGATTCTAAAAGTGTCCCTCCTCCTCCTCCGTTACACTCGCTAACTCGCCTTAGCTATCGTTTAACAAACAGACAATAGACGTTTTGACCAACCTCAGCATTGGTTTTTCTCTTCAGGTAAAAAAAAAAAACCACACAAAAAAAAAAAAGAAAAGTAGTCGCTCGACAGAAGTTTATTGAAACGATTTGGCACTATCTCTACTCCTCTCTCATTTTCGTGCTCGTTATGTTCAAGCAGTGTGTCAAATTAAGGCCAACTAAGTCATGAGTTAAGTTGAAATAAGCGTTTGGATCTGGTGGTAACCTTTCGAGCTTTAGCTGCTAGCCACTTACAGTAGTGTCGGAACTTCCGGTTGGCTTTTTGTTAAACATCAAAATAAAAGCACGTCTAATATAATTTCTTCATGTTGGGGTTTTTCTGCAGCTTTTTTTTTTTTTTTGCAAAACACGCACACATATCGAGTATAATAATACTCACACGAATTAAACCACTCAGCAGCTACTTATTCTAAGAATATAAAACATATATTGTATATTCACGTCAGCTATATTTACCCATTGCTATAAAAAAATAACTAGTGTGTGTTTATATGTTGTTTTAGATTATTATAGAGTAAAAGCCAATGTTGTACTTTTTTGTACTATTGTTTTATCTTATTTTTTATATTACTTTTATATATATATAGCATATATATATACATATAGATATACATATAGATATATATAAGATATATATCTATATCTTATATATATAGATATATATATATGTCTATTTCTTGTTCTTTTTTGTTTTAATTTTAAACTGCTGTTTTTATCATTTAATTGTATTAAATCTACCGTTGTGTATGAAATGTGCTTTTACTGCCTTGCCTTGCTTTAAAGACAATCCTTTAATAGAAAGGGAAATAGAAAAAGGACAACAACACCTTCTTTGAATAAAGAAACAGGAAAGTTTAAAACTTTTTGATGTTCGCCCTCTGAAGGTTTTCCAGGCATGTTGGACTGGTAAGACACTCTGGGGCTGATCAACCTGGGGGAAACCTCAGGATCAACCTGGAGGAACTGGAGGACATGGTTGAGGAATAAAAATCATCTGGGCTACTCTGCTTACTGAGATAAGATACTGAGCAGTGATGGATAATGTTTAAAGACTATAATTAAAAATTCTAATAAAAATTAGAGATATTTTTCACAACAGACACTCTGAGTTACAGTAACTAAATACATTACAATCAGTTGCATTACATTACAGTCATTGCTGGAACAGAGTCAACGTTAATGTTATTACATCCACCTGTTTTTTCCTGCTATGACAATGCAAAATATCTTCTATAAAGAAATTAGAGTGCACTGATGTTACAATCAACATGATGAAAATAAGCATGTTCGTGTTCTTGGTATTATTATTATTGAATGAATACAATTCTACTATTGTTGTTACTGTAGTTTTACTAAATGAAATTAATGTTTTCAAATATTATATTTCAGATTTTCACAATCTTTTGTTAGTTTGAGAACCATGATTTGGGTACAAAAATACATTTCCAACACTGTGATCATAATAGTCCGCATCAGAGTTCCCACAATTTTTAAGCAAACATTTTCCGGGAGTTTTTTATTGACAATACAGGACAGCACAACATTCTTTTTTCAATTTTATTCCTCCATTTTTAATGATGCAGGACTCATGATGAAGTGTCGCAGGTTCATTACAGGTATGTGGTTAATATTTATGGAACACTCTGCATTAGATCACTTTCCACTGTTCTCACAGCCAATTTTTCTGCAGCATCTCTGGTGATTTGACTACAGTTTACGTCAGTTTTCCTCTAACCTAACGTAGGCAATCTGAGTGAGAAAATTAAATAAAACATTTCACAACATAAAATATTATATAAATCATTTTAATCAATTTCCAGGCGTTTCCATGACTGGAAACTAGTGTCCAGTGTCTTCCAGGTTTTGCAGGACCTGTAGGAATCCTGTCCAATGCATGAAGCAGTATATGTTCTGACTTAAGTAACAGGTATATATGAAGTAATTAGATGTGTGTAAACTATCTAACTATTAGTACTTTTGCGCTTTCATTTTTATTCAATATAAGTGGATAAAAAAATCAGTTTATTTATCCACTTATAAGGAGTACGGTCTAGAAGGCTAGGTCTTTTTGGAAAGTGTCCTGAGATAACTTCTGTTATGAATACTCGGCGCTAAACAAATAAAATTGAATCTAATTGAACTGAATTTAGATCTTTTGCCAAGAATGCAGTAGAAGCTTTTTTCTTCGTAAAAAGAAACACACAGAAACATATGAACAAAGATTCACAATATAATGATTTATTTTTCTTAAATGTACACCATATAATACATGCTTACTATCATATTACTAATTTGAAAGATATTTTATTTCACATAATAACAGAGGAGCAAACTGTAATATATTTACTTTTACCCTTTATACATTCTCAGACTTGTGAATTCCCCAATGACATTATTGATTATGTACCAGTAACAGCTGTTGTTTCGGTCTCCCCAGCGGTTTTGTTGGAGGTTTTGGCTTCTTGTCGTGAATCTTCAAATGCGCTCGATACCCTTGAGAGTAATAGAAGCACTTGCCACATTTCTCACAAGTATACGGTTTCTCTCCAGTGTGAACTCGCAGATGAACTTTCAGGTCACATGCTTTGGAGTAACTTTTACCGCAGATTGAGCAGAGGTGAGGCCGCTCTCCGGTGTGAGTCTTGAGGTGCACGTTGAGATGGGAGGATTGTGAAAACGCCTTCCCACACTGATCGCAGTGGAAATTCTTTTCTCCAGTGTGCGTCAGCTCGTGTTTTTTGAGCGAATCTGCTGTGACGCAGCTCTTCCCGCACTCTGAACAGATGAAAGGTGAATCTCCCGAGTGAACACGCTTATGTATTTTAAAATAATATTCGTTTTTGAAAGTCTTGCCACAGTCGGGACATGCGTAAGGTTTTTTGTGACTCTGGCGATGTTCCTCCAGCTGTTGTTTCTGAGGGAAGTCCATTCCACACTCTCCACACACATGAACCGTTACAGGAGATTCTTTAAGGGGACTCTTCTCTTGAACTAATGTCCAATTTGGTAACTCTCCTGTAAGGAAAAAAAAGACATTTATTTTCAGACAGCTTTGCATTGTTAAGGCATGGTCACACCCGCATTTAAAAAAACTTTGCTGCAAAATCAATTGATTGATTGTGTTCTTGTGAATGCTTCTTGTTCTCTGGTCTCTCTTGGAAAACAGATCGTAAAATCAATGAGACTGCCTCATTAAATAAAAATAAAATGGTACAAATTTATTTCAATAAATTATGTTAACATTTGTCCCTTAGGTGAGGGAAGTAAGTCACTTCTTACTAGAAGCTTGCAGAGCTGCTACTGGCTATATTAGCGGCTGGCTCACCAGCTACAGTAGTTCATCAACTAGCCGTGAGAGAAGTCACTAAGTTTCTATGACCAAATATTTCTCGTAGGCACAACCATGAATTTTGCTGTGCCACTTTTAGGGGCTTTTAGGGCGTAAGCTCCACAATATTAATCAATAATAATTTCCACCCATAAATATAAAATATCACTTTTTAGCATAAGGCGACTGTAGTAGAAGCACAAGCTCAGATCTACATAACTTACCTGTCATTTAATCAGAGAAGAAAAACTACAAGTTATTAAGGTAATATGACCAGTTCAGAAGATTTAATTGAAAAACACATTAGCAGAGCTTTCTTATTTAAAAAATAAAAGCATCTTCCTTCCAAGGAGCTTCTTGTTTCCACTGACCTCTGTGAACCTTCATGTGTGTTTTGAGGTTTCCACTCTGAGTGAATCCTCTTCCACATATGAAGCACTTGTAAGGTCTTTTCCCCGAGTGAATCACAAGGTGTCGTTGCAGAGCAGTGTTGTGAGAGAAAACTCGTCCACAGGTCGGACAGTCGTAGTTCTTCTTGTAACTGCGAGGCCCCTGGTCTTGTTTAGGCTTTTCCTGAGGCTGTTCATGGGAGCTGTTGTGTTCAGGTTCCGACCGTCTTAAAGGTTCTTCTGGAAAGAAAAACGTAGAGAACATATGGTCACGTTTTCTAAGAAACCTTTAGCAAGCAGCTCCAGTAATAGGGGGAAAGCTGTAAACACAACATTAACATATTATCTTCTCATAAAGTTAATATGAGAAGATAATAATATTTTAACCTCTAACAAATACAGAGTAACGTTAGGTTTCATTCGAGGAATGTAAGTAATGGTATATTCACTCTCCATTTAGCTCTGTTTTTATCTCCATCAACTCCTGAGGCAAATACGCTATGTTTCTGTGTTTTGTTCCAGGCTTACTGTCTGTGAATGCAAGTATCTTTCTCGATTGAATGTGGATTCCTTTCTTTACTTTAAAGCTCCAACATCATATTTTATGTCATGCCAATGACTCCAAGTGGTAGAATTTGAACAACAGTAAAGACAATAATTCTTACACATCTGTAAGATTTATATGTGTTCACAAAAAACAGAAGTTCCAACTCACCTGTAGGTGCTGCTCTGTGATCCTGCTCCTCTCTTTCAGGTCTGTGTTCTTCACGGTGATTCACTTCTCCACTCGCCTTTCTCAGGTCTATTTTCTTTGATGTGGTGTTATGTGGGAGGGGTGGGGTGAGCTCGAGCTCAGAGGTTGGTGATACAGAGAAAGTGTCAGAGGGCCAGGAGGGCTGCTCCGCTGGACAGCTCTCTTTAAAGTGCTCCTGATCCTGTGATCATGAAAGGTTACAATGATCAACATGTGTCACAAAATCAAAAGCAAAATGCAGTTGCCATCTCTTTCTTTAAAGGTTCATTGTGTAGGATTTAGTGTCATCTAGTGGTGTAGTTGTAGATTGCAACTCACTCCTTTCACCCTCCCTTTTCAACCGTGAGGGAGAAACTACAGTGCCTGTGAAACATGCAAAACACGTGAATAGCCCTATCTACAGCCAGTGTTTGGTTTGTCCCTTCTGGGCTACTCTAGAAACATGGCGAGGAGGACTCTACCGTCTGTAGATAAAAACACCTCAATACAATCTGCAACTTCACCACTAGATGACATTTAATCTTTCACACTGGTTCTTTAAGCTAATTTCAAAAGGTACTGAATATTTAAAGATAACAAAAGAGGCAATCTGTCTCGAACATTAGTGCTATCTTCTGTAATGAAAATAATATAAACGTGAGGCACAATCAAACCTGAGAATGCTGCTGTTTGGTACTATGGACAGTTTTATAGCAACGTCCACCAAATTCAATCACTTTCTCACATTAACAAGTCAGGAATTATTTAGCATCACTTACTGCCGTGCCCTTGAGCAGGGCACTGAAACCAACGCTTGCTCCTGCTGGAGAACTGTAAGCCTGGTGGCACTCTGCTGCTCTCCAGTTGGACGTATCTGGGTTTTGGTCCCAGAGGTTGAATGCTGTATAATGAGCACAGTTCCACGGAGATGTCTGGAAAATATATAAAGCAACAATGAATGTGAGGGATGTTTACAGGCCATTCATTTACATCTATATGATTCAATTTCTCTCACCTGACTGTGGTGGTTCTCTGCAGCATGGTTTTCTTGGTTGCCAAGGTGATGGTGGGGTCTATTTCCTGTATAAACAAATGACTCATATTCATCATATTACAGCTCTTGGTCAAGTGACATAACAAACAGAGAGTTTAAAGTTCATGACTTCCTAAACATGTTTTGTTACGGCTGCAGCTCATTCACAACTTAAAGAGATGATCTTAAGTAAAGATGTTAACAGTTAAAATAGCACAACTGTACAGCTTTACACAACTATAGCTGAGACACAATTAAAAGATAAATTGATCTTAATTTCTATAACAAATGAGTTCCATTTTGGAATAAAAACGTTTGTTTTACATAATCCAGCTGTTCTGATTGGTTTCGAGATATAATAGTAGTCTCAATATTTAAATCATCATTAAAATGTGGTTGTAGGTCTTTAATTATTTACTCTAAAAATCATGTAAATGATTTTTAAGGTATCTGTTTACTTGAGTATTAATTTTTTTTGACAACCTACATTCTACTTTTTTACAAAAATATCTATATTTTCATTATATTTTCAAAGCTCAAGACAAGTTTGAATGCACTGGTGGGGAATAACTGATTGACTGATTTTTTTTTGCATCACTGTACATCTTCAACATCAAGACCGGTGCAAATCACACATGACAGGACAGACAACACAGGGAGACTCAACTGTTTGAAGTTTCAGTCAGTTTTGCACAGAAACAGCTGGTAGAAATGTCCTCCAGAGAAACCAAGAGATTACTTTTTACTTTTATCGGATATATAAATATTTAGTATTTCAGAGCCTGTACTTTTTCACTTTTACTTCAGTCAGAGTCTTTTTTACACAAATATCTGTACTTCTACTTGAGTAAAAAATGTGTGTACTTTTCCACCTCTGATTTTAAGAGGTGTTGTGTAACACTTATTACCTGTAACGTGTGGAGCAGAAAAATAAAGAAAATCTCTATTAAATTTATATAAAGAGTTAGTGCTGTGCAGTCTACAGTCTTTTTAACAAGTGAAAAACAAAATGTAAAAGAGGATTTGGAGAAAGCCCTTGCATTATAGCTTCCATGTGAGACACACTTATCTAGTTAAATTTTATACTGTTAAACTGGATGGATTTATTAATGACGTTTAAAAGAACTTTAAAAGAACTGGTAATGGATGATACAGTGTGTTTTACCCACACAGGCTCTGATTTGATTAACTCAGTCAATCAACACACCCACCGGGGTCAGGAGGCTCCCAGGTCAGATCCTCTCCATCTGAATCAGGCAGAGCTCTCTGTGAGACCTTCTTAGGCCTGCTTGACTTCCTGGTGCTCCCCAGCAGTCTGGGTCTGCCCAGCTGCCTGGTGGGCCCGATGGGTTTGGCGCTGTGAGTCTTCTTATGGTTGTTGAAACCTTGCCTGTAGTAGAAACTCTTCCCACACTCATCACACTGGTACGGCTTCTCCCCTGTGTGAACTCTGAGGTGAACTTTAAGCTCTTCGGCTCTTGCATACCGTTTACCACAGATGGAGCACAGGTGAGGCCTCTCTCCTGTGTGCGTCACATAGTGTGATCTCAGAGTAGATTCCTGCTTGAACCTTTTCCCACATATAATGCACGGGAAAGGTTTCTCTCCTGTGTGATCTCGCATGTGGTTCTCGAGTCCCTTTGAGGTCTGGAAACCTTTATCACACTGTGAGCACTGGTAGGGCTTCAGACCGTCGTGCCAAGCTTCGTGGTCGTTTAATTTCTGGATGTACATGAATCTTTTGCCACACTGTGTGCAGGAAAATGGTTTCTTTGATTCGTGGACTTGTTTCAAGTGTTCTTCTAATAGTTGTTTCTCTGAAAATTGTGTCCAACACAAATGACAGAAGCAGATTTCCACTGATGATTGAGCTTCTTCGGACTGAGGTAAACGTTTGTCTAACACTGCCATGTTGGTTAATTTCCCTATTGGAAGAAAAACAGCATAACGTTCATACATTCTTAAAGATGCAATTATCAATATGTTAATATTACTCTGCAGTTCCCCTCAGATCTGCAGACAGGTTTTTAGCTTCTTTCAGCTCATTGTTTTGATTTTAAGACAACTTATTCTCACCGTTCTCATCAAGGTTACGTTAGGTCAAGGTCTAATCAGTAGGGATCCATCGATTTATTATCCGAACACCAATATTTACCTTGTTGACTAACATCGGTGTATCAGGAAATGAGATGGCATTTACAGATATCACTATCCAATATTTATCTGTTTTGTCAAATCAACCTTTTTCAAATATTGGAGAAATAATGACCTTTGTTTTCCAACACTGGCACAAATTGCACACAAATCCCTATGTGCTCCAAGCAGCAGCACAGACAGTGAGTGGCTGTTCAGTTCTGTATCTCAAATCTTGGATGAGAAGAGAAATAGATTGAGCTGCAGCAAGGCAGAGATGCTTATCTTTGTAGCTTTCTCTGTTTCCCTGGCACAAAAGGCTGAATAAATAACAAAATTAAAATATCAGCATCAGCTATTGACCAAATTGTTGGTGCATCCCTACTAATCAGGCAGCTGTTTTAAACAAAAAAGTTAAGATAAACAATACCTACCCAGCACCACATGACCGGCAGACAAAGTTAGCCAGTAGCAGGTGAACATAGTTGAGATCAGATAAATATATACTGGGAATGAGACTCAACAATCAACTACCTGTCTCCAGAATGACTGACCCAACCTTTAAGTTTGAATACTGCTACACTTTGATGTGTATTTGCTGACTTATTTTCAATTATACTGTAGAATCTAAAAACCTAGAATATTGGGATACTGCCAGATAAAAAGAGAGACAATCACAGAAAGTCTTAAAATGAAAAGGGCAAACACTGTAGACCTCAGTGATCTCACCTTTATGAACCTTTTGGTGCGTTTTGAGGTTTCCAATCTGCGTGAAACCTCTCCCACACAAAGTGCACTTGTATGGTTTCTTCCCTGAGTGAATAATAAGGTGCCTTTTCAGGGAGGCACTAGATGGAAACTGCTTTCCACATGTTGAACAAACATAAGTCTTTGGAGCCCTTTGCTCTTCTTCAGGCACTGCAGACACTGCAGGTGCTGGATGGTTTATTCGCTGGTGGACTATCAAGCTTCGGTTAACTTTAAATGTCTGTCCGCAGTCGCAGCACTTGTGAAGCGAGCGTTTGCCATGTTTCTCTCTCAGATGGCGGTCTCTGGCGTATACGCTCTGAAAATCCTTACTGCATTCTGCGCAGCTGAAGAGCTCCTCAGCCTCAGTTTTCTTTCTACGTTTCCTGGGTGTCGTTTTCAGAGAAGGGTTATGTTCAGGTGTGGCGGGCGTAGCTGTGTCACCAGGTAATGTAACATCAGGGGCCTTACCTGCATGTATGAAACAGAAGCTGGTAAGTGCACAGGTGCAAGTTTAGGTATTAATATACTGTTTTTTTTATTTCAACTTCGGATTCTTGTCATTAAAGGGTCAGTTCACCCAAATCACAAAAAACATAATTTCTCATTTCCTCCTTGTGTTTTTTTAGCTATGTATTTCATTTTGGTTTAATTTTTTGAGAAATAAACCTCTGGAATTTTAACCTCCTTTCTTAAAACAGAGATAATTTCTGGTTCTCAGAACAATTTTCATCCAAAAATATTAACAACATCTCTATCTCTATCCCAGTGCGGCTGTGAATCTGGAGAATGCAGAGACCTCACTGTCATATGTTTTCAGTGGAACAACTTTCTTCCAGAGAAACAGACCATATGAAAACTGTTCAGCCCTTTGATTTTTCCTAAATAACCAGCACATTGTCTTCTGGGAAGGACACACTGCTGCTGGGTTTTTCAGATGTTTTGATGTTGTTTTTTTTTTGCTTTGAGTCACACAAACAAAATTACATCGACCTCTATTATGCTGAGGTTGCGAAACAAATCTCAAATTCTCAGCAAATAAAACTTGCATGGCTCAATACCACTAGTGGTAAGTTAGAAAATGTGGTGTTGTTTTTGGTGACTAACTGAAAAAATATTATAACAGTATTGTTAAAGCTGCAGTAGATAACTTTTATAAAAAATACTTTTTCATATTTATTGAAACTATATCCTTACAGTAGTACATGAGACAATCTGTGAAAGAAAATCAGGAAAGATAGTTGATTGTTGAGTGTAATTCCTACATCTCTGATGTTGAGACTGAAAACACAACTATGTTTCTCGGCTCTGATTGGTTGTTTTCGTTTAGGTGCAATGGACTGATGCAAATGCCCTTACGAACGCGAGAAAGAGCCGGTGTAACCAGATTTTTTCATGTCTCATGTACTACAGACAAGATATAATCAGAGTTTGAGCAAATATGACAAAAAGTTATTTTCATAAACTACTGCAGCTTATACTCTAAGAGGTCTGAGAACTTTTATGACTCTAACACTTTCAGGCCTGATGCTAAGACACCATGTTTTTCTTTTCCCGAATCAACTTACCAACAGAATTTCCCTCCAAATGTAATGAATCTGAGCTGATCTGAATACCGGTCTTCTCGACTCCACCCAAAGTCTCCGCAGTTTCCCTCACTTCAGATGAACATCCATGTAAGCTGAGGTGTTCCTTCAGCCTGTCTTTGCGGGAGAATCTCTTGCCACAGACTGGACAGGAGAAAGGTTTCTCTTTGGAGCGGATTAAAAGGTGTCTTTTCAGTCTGTTCGGGAAATTCAACCCCGTCCCACACTGGGAGCATCTATGAGGTTTAGTTCCATGGTGAGTCCTCTGGTCTGGTTGTAGAGTTCTGCTGTATGATAATTTATTACAACACACATGGCAGCAGCACCAGTCCATGCTTCTGTCTAATTGTTGATCATCAGTTTGGTGCACATTAGGAATGACCTCTAAAAAAAAATAAAGAGACATTTAGTTTTCAGACTGTAATAGAAATTACATTCTTTCTCGCCATTTAACAGGACCAGCCTCAACGACAATGACAATTCATTCATTCACAAAAGTACTTCCACTTACTAGATTTGCCAGGATCCAGTTCCTCTTCTCCATCTGCGTTGATCAAACCACCAACTGCATCTTCAGTGTGTGTTTTCATATGTGACCTTACATGGCTCATCAGAGAAAAGTTCACGCCACACACAGGGCGGAAGTACAGTTTCTCTTTACTGTGGGTTCGCAGGTGAACAATCAGAGGGTTTCGAAAGGTAAACCTCTTCCTACAATAGATACATTTGAAAGGCTTGACTCCTCCGTGGTGTTTCTTGGTGTGTTGGCACCGATGACTTTGAGTTCTGTAAACTTTTTTACATATTTGACATTTGTCGTTGTCAGTCTCCCTGGGTTCTTCTGCAGCAGTGTGATTATCCTTGTCTTTAAAACAAAGTTTTACTTCTTCTAGAGGAAAGAAAAAACAGGACAGAATTAATTACAGTACAATATTTAAACTTTCTCAAGTTTAGACAGCACCTCTACTCCAGTCTTCTACTCACCTGACTGACTGTGATTCTTAGTTATTAATTGTGATGAAGGTATCTCATGTTTAGTCTTAGTTACGCTCTGATCTCCATGCAAAGGACTATAACCACAGTTAACTCCTTCACAGGCAGGACCGTGCTTGCCACAGCTGGACTCAGACTCCTAAAAGGAAGAAAGTAAAATGACTAGTAATTAATAAGTAAAAAATAAACAAAATTAAATAAAAAAATAAAAAAGATAATTTGTCATAACTTACAGACCACTCAAACCACTCAAGCCAATAATTTTATGTTAAGCATTCCTTAGGAAGTTTTTACAGTTTTAGCCTCAAAGATAGTATTATTCCTAGTATTAGTATTATTTCCTTAATGTTGTTGTTGTGTTACCCATATTGCATTTCTGCTACTGCCACTACAACTACTGAAATTTCAATTTTCTTTCCCAATTAATGTTTTTGTTTTTTGGTGTGGTTTCCTTTTCCACCACTCGAGGGACAAGTATTGGAATACCAGATAAATGATCTCAGCCCTCCAGAGTATTTAATTACTTACATCTGACTGGTATAAACAGATAACCAGATCAATTAACTTTATTGTAGGAAGGACAATGTAGGGTCACCAGTAAGCCCAGCACTATACAGCTAAAAACATCTTTCTACAACAATCTCCAGTTACCACCAGGGGGCACAAACTGCTCAGTCTTATTTGAAATCCTATACTATTGAGAGGAGTTCAGAGGAGGTCAGGTGTGATGAATAATACAATAGAAAAGATTTTCACAGATTTTAGCCCTACAGTTAATCAAAGGGGTAATGGGAGGTACTGGTCAGGTATTTCAGAACATAAATCAGGGACAAAATTACTACTTACAAGGATTGGGTAACTGACACAATATGCAAACAGACAGACAAAATTAAGCTTCCTGCCATGGGGCACAGAGCTCAACAACTCAGGAAGAAATCAGATTACATTCACTACACCCATGCACTGGAAGGAGGTAGTTTGAGGTGATTTGAAACCTGGGACGCACGAGAGGGGTCCTGCTATTGGGGGTACACCAAGCAGAGATAAAACTACCTAAGGGCAGAACCAGGACACACAACAGCAGCTACATCAGCCAACATGCGTAGTCTGCAGTCAAATTGAAGTAAAGGTGCACTGATCAAATTAAACCAGTAATTAATAAATACTGGGAATTAAATTGGGTCCTGAAAGACACCCAGACCCTAAAACAATTGCTGTATTCTTTTTAAATCTAGAAACTACTGACAGCAGGACCTTTTGTAAAATAATGACGGCCAATGTAATGATGAACAACTGAAACCTTTATTTTCAACTTTTCACAACAGCAGTTTTTACATGTACTGTAGGAAAGAGCAGAGAAAGCACAGGCGTAATTAATAACACTGATAACAACTGCATGGCATCTGCAGTCAGCGAGCCACCTCCAGAGCCACGCATTGTGTGTGATGTGGGTGAAACCAGCAACGCCATTTTAACAAGATAAATACAAACATACCAGTAGTGCAGCATTTTCTGGAACGTGGCAGGAATTCTGTGCAAGCCACAGTTATTCAGAGTAACCCAAGATGACGGATATCAAAATACTGTACTCCTAATATATCAAAATAAGATACTGTACAATGAGAGGGAGTTGTGTTACAGTTTGGAACAGTAATGGACAGTGCATATAATTACCTTACCTTACCTCCTGGCACTGGAACTGAGCCCTCGTTAATGTCATTAGTTGCATTATCTGTTGCTAGTGTCATTACCCCTTAGCTTTTGTTTTCACAGAGCTGTCACTACTTTCTAATTGGCTTCAATAACGATATAATTTACAGATCTATCATTTCCTATCAAGTTCCCTGAAAAGAAGAACTATGTAATGATTATAGGGGGAATGGGAACCTTTCAACAGCACTTACTTAAACAGTTACTCATTATTTATTGATTTATTAATGTTTGAACTGTATGATTAACTCCAGACAAACTGTCTCTCTGTGCACTTGAGAGGTTAAACTATCAATTTAGTGTGTAAATGTAAATTCCAAATGAACACTGACTGTTTTCTCTACAGTTATTTTCAGGAACCTCCCTATGATTTTTGATTTTAGCAAACTAAGTACATTTACTCGAGTACTGTACTTACTTCTTTTCTTTTCATGCCACTTTCTATTTCCACTCCGCTCTGTCAGAGGGAAATATTGTACTTTTTACTTCATTGAAACTGAAACTTTCAAACAAATTAGGGTTGTTGCATGTTAAAACATAAGAAGAGCTTAGAAAATATGAAATACATAACAGATTTAACTACCCAATAGAATATACAAGTACAGCTGACACAATTTGTCGATCAATTAGTCAACTTCTTTAATACGGTAATAAAGTTCCAAACATTTCATTGTTCCAGCTTCTCAAAGTTCAGGATTTGCTGCTTTTCCTTTTCATTATTTAAAAAAAAAACATTTTAAAAATAATTTGGTGGTGTTGTCCAATACTAAACCGTTTAAAAACAGCTCCACCTTAACCAACTACAACAGTAAAATCCTGTTATTACAATAATGCATAAGTAATAATAATCTAATTATATAAAACATCACAGTATAACAGTCACTGGGGCATTGACTACTTTTACTTTTTATACATTAAGTGCTTTCCTGAATATATTGGTAGTACATACTTTTACTTAAAGTAACATTTTGAATACAGGACTTTTATAGTGTGATATTGGTACATTTACTTAAATACCATCACTGCAAACTGTGTCCTATACAAAATAGTTTAAAAATAGCTCCATTTCAACTAACTACAACAGTAAAATCCTGCTATTATATTAATGCATGAGTAATAATATTCTAATTATATAATATATCATAATATAACAATCGCAGGGACCATTTTTTCTGCATTGACTAATTTTATTAGTATACATTAAGTACATTTTCCTCATTATACTTACATACTTTTACTTAAAAGTAACATTTCCAATGCTTTTACTTGTAACAGAGTGTTATTATAGTGTGATATTGGTACTTTTACTTGAATACTTTGTCCATCACTACTTAACTTGGTGTCCTAAATGAAACAGTTTAAAAATAGCTCCACCTTAACCAACTACAACAGTAAAATTACATTAATGCACAAGTAATAATAATCTAATTATATAATATATCATAGTATAACAATTGCAGGGACCATTTTTTCTGCATTGACTAATTTTATTTGTATACATTAAGTACATTTTCCTCATTATACTTACATACTTTTACTTAAAAGTAACATTTCCAATGCTTTTACTTGTAACAGAGTATTATTATAGTGTGATATTGGTACTTTTATTTGTAAGAGTATTATTATAGTGTGATATGTAACCTGATGTGTTAACCCCTCTCACACTGCAGCAGTCAGTCAGTCAGACTCAAACTTACACTTTGTTATTGGACAGCAGGCTAGCAGCTAACTTAGCCATGTGTACATTGAGCCTTTCTGTGCACCTTTATTACAACTCACCTCATTCATGGTGGCTTCAAACCATCCAGTCAGCTCTCAACTCACATCCAAGAGTCTGAGCATCGCCACTGTGCACGCACAGACAGGTATCTGGTGTCTTTTGTACCAGCAGCGATGCACTACTACAGTTAGCATGAGGCGCTAGCTGGAGAAGGAGGCAGGCTGGTGTTCAGGGGGTTGCCAGATAAGAGGGGCAGAAATAAGTAATCCAAGCTGTCAAATAGAGCCCATAACGACTGTCTGCTAACATCCCTAAAACACTGCCCTGCTTTCACGGTCTCAGCAGTATCCTCACCTCTTTTTAAATCTGATTCCTGCAAGGATTCACAGATAAATATTGTTTTTACAGATTAAATGTGAATTATTTTTTTCCCCTGATGCACAGTGTATGACTGCACTGATATCTTAGATTCATTAAAGGCAACATATAAAAAATATACACACTGTGGGGTGTCACTGTGTATGTATTGACTAATAAGCTTATGAGAATTTACAGATTTCTTTTCTGGAGCAAAATCTGCATATGAATACTTATTACATTAACATTTAAGTTATCCTGATGGCAATACTTTCATATTAACAGTTTATTCTTTTCAAATGAAGTGTAAAAACTATATATGTTTATTTTATATTTGCATATAATTACCAAGTAGATGTTATTATTATTTTGATTGCAAAATGTTGGCAAAAAAAGTGTAGCTA